TTTGCCCTTCTTAAGGGAGGTGGAATTGTGACAAAGATGGATGCTTCCTTTAACCCCAGGTTTATTAATGGAAGAAATGCTTCATTGTGGTCACTGATTTTAGCTTTAGAATATCAAGTTACTAAAGATACTATTCTCCACAAAAGCCTGACTGTGATATCACTTAAACTAAACAAATATTAGACTGAATTTTAACAAAATGGCTCAAGCAAAGAATCTAATATCAGTAACTAAGCTTCCTAATTAAGGATAACAACAGTTTATAAGGATTGAGATGGAATGCAGAATCATCTCCATAGTTAACATTTTGTGCATGTGAATTGTGCTGTGGCTTCTGCAGGGAGGAGTGCTACTCACTGTCTGTGCACAGAGCAGGGGTACAAAGCCTCTAGAATTCTATTTTTAGCCCTCTGCTATTTTTAGTCTCCTGTGATCCTTAGTAAATGGCTAAGAGACTGATCCAGTTCTCACTGAAGTCTTTTTTTGCTAAGAGACTGATCCAGTTCTCACTGAAGTCTGTAAGATCCTTTTTGCTGTTTTCAGTGAGAGATGGATCAGGCTTTGAACTTCTCAACATCCCATCTTCACAGCAGGAGGAATAATACTGCAGTTTCCTATTTGGTGTTGAAGAGTCAAGTCACGACTCTGAAGAACATTAAGGAGATATCACATCACAGAAAGCCTAATAAGTCTCCTAAGCTTTGGCCTGCAGGCATGAAATGGGATTCACATCACTAGTCTTGAGTCAAGAAAATCAGATCTAAGCTAGTCATCTAAGTTCCCTCTCCAGTCAGTACTTACTGGCCTCCAGAGGTGCCATCTCCTCTGTGCCTTATACATGGTAAAAGCTAGATGACAAAGTTCTCAAAATCAATGTGAGGAACATTTGCCTGGACCTGCCTTTCATGGCTCCAGAACTTAATTAACACAGAATAAGGTAAACCAGTGCTGCCTTGTTCCCCTTCAGTGTATCTAAACATTTACTTTGGAAATGCAGTGTCTAGGGTGTGTCTTCTGTGTTTAATGTGATCGTGTGTCTGATCACCTGCCCCGTTGCCCTACCTCATCTCTCTCCTGATCTGTACAGCTGAACATTTTCTCTGGATGATCAGCATGGTTCACAACACAGTGAAGAGACAGTTACTTCTCAAGTATAATAAAGAGCTGTAAAATACAGTGCAAGGGGAAATTGTTCTGGAAAAAAAAACAACTACCCAGATTTGGGCCACAAGCCCTGCCTTGGGCAACCATTAGACGCAGATATTCTCAATGTCCTCTGCATAGAAACATGCAGCAATAATCTAGTTACAAGTCTAGTTACAATTGCTAGGACTAGAGGGAAGCTTACATGGAACCACTTTATGAAAATATTCTTGGGTTGAAACCCAAATGCTGCACTACATTGATGCCAGTGAATGTACCAGTGAAAAGCACTAATATATATGATTGGTTTCCTTTTAAAAAAATTAATTAAAATAACATTTTAAAAAGCATGTTAATATACTGGGAAGGCTTCTAGAAGAGAGCAACAAAGCTGGTGAAAGGGCTGGAAAGAATGTCCAATGAGGAGCAGCTGAGGACATTGTGTCTGCCTAGTTTGGAGGAAAGGATGCTGAGGGACAACCTCATTGCTCCCCACAGCTTCCAGAGGAGGGGAAGTGGAAAGTGAGTTGCTGATCTTTTCTCCCTGGTATGTAGGGACAGGACATGTGGAATGGTTCAAAGCTGCACCAGGAGGTTTAGACTGGACATCAGGAAGCATTTATTTACTGAGAGGGTGCTTGAATGCTGGAGCAGGCTTCCTAGAAAGGTGGTCAATGCCCTGAGTCTCTCAGTGTTGAAGAAGCATTTGGGCAAAGCCCATAACAACATAAAAGTACAAAGTGCTTCAAACAAATGAAATAGGGCTCTGTCCTCTGAAAAGCTTACTAACAAGAGGACAAGATCAGGATGGAAATGTAGGAAGCAAAAAAGCAGTGCATCATTACAATAACAACCAGGATGAGGCTCTCAACATAGCTTCATTTCAGTGCTTGCAGAGACATAGACATACATGAAAATATCTGATATGTGTAACAACTTCTGATATTATTTATGTGCACTTGAAACATACAAACAGAACAAAAGTAAAGCTGCCCCCTCACCAGATAACTAAACTCTAGCTTGTTTGACATGTGCTGTGTTTATATCTTATCTGACAGTAGATGGCAATCCTTTCATCAATACATGAAACTCTGAAGTTCAAGGTGAGTGTAGTTAGCTCCCAAATACGGTTGCTTATCTCAAATGTATCTCAGTCTCTTAAATCTGCAACAGTGAACAGGAAATCCCTCAGCACTGTGCCCTTCCCTCTAGAATTGCAGGGATAAAGCTGTGTATGTTTTTCCTGTCATGAACTGTCCCTTTTTTTAAAACCCAGACACTTAGCTGGGAACTCAGTGGATGAAGGTAGAAAGAAAGTTCAACAAAAATTTTGCCATACTTAAAATGCACTGTGTTCAAACATCTTGTGCATGACACATTAAAGCAAATGTGTCCAAAAATAGGTATGAATGCCTCAGGGAAACATCACTGAGTGCTGACAGTGCCTGACACAGCCCTAGGGAAACACTGTGTGTATTTCCTTCCACTTCCAGCCAGCTTCCTTGTAGGAAATCCCTTTTTTCTTTGGAGAACCTTGTGCAATACAAAGGGACTACTGCATCCTTTACTGTATGTGCAGCTTGTCTCTCTTGAGGCCAGTCTGCAGTCTTTTTTTTCCCAAAGTTTAGGACTCAGCCTGCACCTATTTCCCCATGAAGTGTGTTCATATCTAATGATCATACTGGTGAACTCACCTCATCTCCATGCTATGAGGTACAGCACGTGTTGGAGTCAGTAAACTTGTAATGGTTTTCAGCAGAGATGAAAGTAAAAGTATTAGGAACAAATGCAGCAAAGCTCTATTCATACTGTATTTCAGCAAGGGTGTTTGTGTCTTAAATCTGTGCCTTAAGCAGAGAGTGAATGCTTTTGAAAGTGTGCTAAATATTACATATAAAAGCAGGGAACAGCTTTCTGCCCAGGGAGCTAGGTTGGTGTTTGAGCTGTTGGAGTGGTAATGTGTGAAAAACCCAGGAATGGAGTGGACTTTGACAGAGAGTGCTAGCTTTGGCAGTTGCTCCAAATGCTATTGGAAGAGGATAATTCAGTAAGGATGCTGTTAAGTGAAACTGCACCCTAATTTAGATCATATTAAATGGAACATTTTTTTTACAAATTTTCAGCTAAAGAGATTTTTTGAAAAGTATTATTTGACCATAATATTTTGCCACTATTAACAACCTAACCATTACAGTAGTGGCCTCAAAGTGAGGGAATAAAAATTTATTATTGGTAACAAAACTGTCTAGAATATGTTCTTCACAGTCCAAAAGGAGAAATGCAAATACTGGATATTTATAGTCAGCCCTCAGAAACTGGAAAAATGAACAGTGAATGAGCTGTTTTCTTTTGGCTTTTTCTAACTGGAAACATTTTCCCCCATTAAACACTTGGAGGCCAGTGTTCCATCTTTGTATTGAATATTTTCTCAAGCAACAACTATTGACTGCAGCAGGATATTATCTAAGTAAGAACAACATAACTTCAGTTGTGGCTTTTATGTTTGACAGTGTTCCTTTAATGCTCAGAACGACGTGTGTCCACAGTGTTCAAAGGTATTATATATATATATGTGTGTAAAGTTAATGCATTTTTTAATTGAAGGCAATTTTCAGGAAGATTTTGAAAAGGCAGGTGCTACAATTTGGCTTCTATGATAGGGAGGTTAAAATTCCCAGTGGGAGCAGTCTTAGGCCAACACCAAGCATTTCTGGAGATCTCACCTGGTACAGGAAGCACCCTTAAGCTAATACCTCTGTCTCTCCTTGTTTTTGGTAAGCATTAAACTCCACAGAGGTATTAGCTTCAACCTGAGTGAAGAAAGCTTTTCTATGACAGCAGGGGCTGGCTATGTTTAGTTAGCTAAACATAGCTCCATGGCTGTGGAGATGACTGCACTCCCTTTTCCATTTCTGCTGTTACTTGTGAGACTCTCTGGTGCCTTAGTTCAGTGGTGTTTTCCAGGAATGTGATAGAGGGAGAGAAACAATGGGAAGGTAGTTTGAAAGCTGAGGTAAGTTTGATGGCATTCACGTCTGTTCCTCCACAGGCTGGCCTGTCTTGGGTACACTGCTTAGTTTCTGCATTCTTCATTTCCCTCTCTGTAAAGTAGGAGTTATACATCTCAGATCACAAAGCCTGTGGCTATGGGGCAAATCTGTTCAGGCTGGCAAAGTGTTAAAATTCTTATGTAATGGAGGCCAGGTACGTGCCTCAGACTGGCCAGAAATTATACCCCTCCAAAGCAATCTGAGCATTCCATATTGTCAGCTGCAAGCCCATCTAAAAGGTCTGTTTCATTTACAAATATGATGCAGAATGGTAGGTGAGAGGAAAAAACATAGAAGGAACTTGAAGACGCAGTCTTCTAAAGTTATCTCACACAAACAAGTGGAAGGCAAATGTTTCTTGAGGCTGAGACATCTCTGGCTAACATGATTCCATGCTGTAATGTGATAGCCATTGGGAGGCCTTGGCAGGGAGCTTGTAGCCAAGTGTCACGTGAGACACCGTAGCCTTCTGAGGTGGTAAGTCCCACTTGCTTCATTACATTATCTTTGAGAAATTCCAGGGGACTCTGTGCAATTCCAGTGCATAGTCCTGTTGCTGTGCCTGGCGAGGCCAGGCTGGGTTGGTGTTTCAAATAAAAATTATTTCATGCGTATTCAGGGATTAGTCTATGTGGTTTATACACTCTCCTTTCACAGATGGCAGTGCCAGTAGGAATTATTACTATTGTTTTAAAACTCTGGTAATCACTTGCTTTCGTGCCTTTGAAAGAATAAACAGCCTGTTTCAGGGGTTTATTGCCACAGTTGTATTAATCATACTCCCTTTCTTACTTTGTTTGCTGGTAGAATACGTACACCAATGCAGACAAGCTTTTGGAAGCTGCAGAACAGTTGGCTCAGACTGGGGAATGTGACCCTGAAGAGATCTATAAAGCAGCCCGGCATCTGGAAGTACGGATTCAGGACTTTGTCCGGAGGGTGGAACAGAGGAAACTTCTCTTGGACATGTCGGTTTCCTTCCATACCCACACCAAAGAGGTAAGATGTGCATGAGGGAATTCTTCTGTGTATTGCAGGGCGCTGCAAGAAGCTGACTCTGAAAATTCGGATGACATAGAAAAGGCATCTTCACCACTCTGGGCTGATATCCAGTGTATTCGATGCATGTGTCTGGCTCTTGTAAAGAGGAAACAAAATGTGAATGAAGCCTATGAATTATATAGTACATTAAAATACAGGGACAACTTATCTAACATATCAAGCACAGCTTAATTCACAACTAGAATGTGTTGTTATAGAGCAAGTATTCTCTTGTTAGAACATGAGTTGATATTAACACATTAGGTATAAACGTGCTAGCAGTGTGATACGTATCCTCAGAGGGATTCCATTTGAATGTAATGTTCATTAATGTAGCCATCATTATTGAGTGTTACTGGAAATCTTACATTGTTTAATGAGGCAAACTTCACTTTCCATAATTAAAGAGCAAATAGCCTCATACGGTTACAGTCAGTCAGTGAGGATCTGAATAAATGCTGTTTAGTGTAATTGGAAAAATATCCAGAGATAAGGCTGTCTCGCCAGAGAAACAGTGGACAGAACATCAAATGGGAGGCCACTGGGGATGTAATTAAAGCATACTTCACATTTTTCTGCAGACCAAAGGCCATTCAGTGATGAGTGACTTTTCAAGATAAGGTTTCTGCTGAGAGAGATGGAATTAGTCAGAATGGTTGTTTTCATGCTCTGCAGTGTCTGTTTGCAAAAGCACACTGGATGAGAAATATGCTATTAGAAGCTGAAAGCTTTGCCTGTGATTGTTCACTTACGTGTTGCAAACAAGTTGCTTCCCAACATGTGAAGCCTCCTTAAATAGGTGTATGCACACATTTTTAGAGATAGATAGATAGATAGATAGATAGATAGATAGATAGATAGATAGATAGATAGTTGGAGTTACAATGTGTCTGTTATAGCTGTTGATACATGAAGGTTTTCATTTTACATCCTGTTTTTGCAATACTCTAAAATCTAGTTACTTCAAGCTTGTGAAAAGTACTATTGTTTCCAGAGTAGTTCAAATGCTTGCAGCTATGCTTGTTTGCCACAAGGGAAGCTTAATTAGTTATTTCCTCAGTCAGAATGATTTCTGAACAATTTCCTAATGTGATTAACCTTGCTTCACCTGTGCAGGTGATGACTGGTAAAACAAAGAGGGGCATGACTCTATGAAGTTAAAAGTATGTTTTCTGTAATCTAAATTTCTTCTGATAATTTCTTGTATTGTGTAGCTTAATTTGGGTTTGGGAACTTAACCTTCCCTGTATGAAAGGTTTTGGGTTGCAGTACACTCTGCTCACTTCTGTCCTTCAACAAGAAGGGAATTGCCTGCTCCGCTCACCTGGTTTTTAATGAGGCCAGTTTTGTTGTATGGAAATTAAGATGTATAAAATGCACTTTAAAAAAGAAAGGAAATTAAAACCCCCGGAATTTTGTGACAACATCAATGCTGTTTATTAGATATTGAAAGTAAACCATAAGTATCTGCCTCTTTGATATTTGCCTATGGGACAGATTAGTGCTATGATGACTTTTTGGAAAGCTCAGTATTTGCTGTCAGTTTTAGGGAGACCCAGAATAGACAGGCTTCTTGTGCCTCTCTCTCCAGAGGGACAGACAAGAGAACTGTAGCATAAAATTGGAACATCAGCAAAGTCAGGGTGGACCCATAAATCCACATTCATCAGAATGAAAGAAAGCCCTTGGCTGGGGTGCAGAGAGGCTGCTAAACTTATTGCAGTCTCCAGTTGTGCCCAAAGTTGGAGGATGCACAGTAGCTCTGCAAGAGAAAGGAAGTTTTTGCTTCCTTACTCCCATGTTAATTCACTGCCGTGGGGGACAACCACTCTGTTTTTTTGCAGGTTCACTGAATTTCCTTGTGTGTCACTACCTGCCTCCTTCAGTGACATGTTTCTGCACTGATGAGAATCACACCAGTATTTGCTGTCAGTTTTAGGGAGACCCAGAATAGACAGGCTTCTTGTGCCTCTCTCTCCAGAGGGACAGACAAGAGAACTGTAGCATAAAATTGGAACATCAGCAAAGTCAGGGTGGACCCATAAATCCACATTCATCAGAATGAAAGAAAGCCCTTGGCTGGGGTGCAGAGAGGCTGCTAAACTTATTGCAGTCTCCAGTTGTGCCCAAAGTTGGAGGATGCACAGTAGCTCTGCAAGAGAAAGGAAGTTTTTGCTTCCTTACTCCCATGTTAATTCACTGCCGTGGGGGACAACCACTCTGTTTTTTTGCAGGTTCACTGAATTTCCTTGTGTGTCACTACCTGCCTCCTTCAGTGACATGTTTCTGCACTGATGAGAATCACACAGTCTAATGCCTTTTATTTTATTTTTTTGCCAAAATAAGTGAGGAAATCACTGTGGTCTTAGTATTTGTCTGCCAGCTGTGGGGATCCCCACACAGTGAAGTAAACAAAGTGTGCCAGGGGGACCTGGTACAAAGGGCAAAGCATTACTACAAGAGAGCTGTAGCACATGTTTGGATCTATATTTGCCCTTTTATGCTATAAATAGATTGGCTGAAGTAGAAATGACTCATTACTTGGCCCCTCATATAAATTGTAAAATAGTGAGTTAATGTCATTGTCTTTCTTCAATATAAATACAAAACAGATAACTGGATTCCTTAAAAATTAATATAAACATCCTAACTTTGCCACCATACCTATGGTAGTATTATATCCTTCCTCTGTCTCACATTAACTGATCTCAGTCAGTTCCTCCCTGGGCTCTGACTAGGAAGGGTGCTCAGCCTGGTGAGACCTCTCAGCCTACAGAGCTGGACTGGACCAAATACAAGTTCTTGCTCTAGCCACTCTCCCATTTATCCAGGTCAGATCTACACCATCCATACACATTTTATGAAACTGCTTAAAAATAGATTAATTGCTTTTTCTGATGTTTCAGTCCCGAAAACCAAACATACATTAGATTCCAATTTTAAAGTAAGGATTTATGAAGCAAACTTCCCTTTAAGTCAGTAGCAGTTTTAGTTTAGTTAGACAGTTCCAAGTCAGATTTAAATTGTTTCTTCTATGTTACTCTTATGCTCTTGAAGATTAATAAACAGTTGCCTTCCTGTGTTCTTGGCAGTAATGCAGGAAACTATAGCGTACATATATTTCTCATCAAAGTTTCCCAAATTCTCATTATTTCTTGACATATTAATCTACTGAGACAGAACTGTTGAAAGGGAGAATGAAATAGAAAGAGTTGGTCTTACTGACATGTTTTTAGTGGAAATATTCAAAATATCTTCCTGCAAAGAATATGTTACCTCTGACAGTCCTCCCAGCACCGATGAATTGCATTCCTGATGCAGTAATTCCCAGGCCTGGATGAGTGTATTGATTGGGAACCTTGTCACTGCTTCACCTGTACTCTGCATACCTCTCCATCTCCACCTGTGACTACCCAGATTCCCAACACCGGAGAAATTTTTTACAGCTTCCATTTTTAAAAAGTGATCTTGTCAAAGTTCATTTTCCTTTTGTAATCTGCCTTATTAGAATTTCTTCAGGACAATATATAGTGTTGACTTAGGGAGTAATTTAGATCCAGATATCCCATGAGCAATTAAAATTGAGTGACTTTTTTATACTACAGTAGACTTGAATCACTGTTCATTTAATGTGAGAGTATTATAAAAGGATCCCTTCTGATAAACATTGACTTGTAAGTGGAAAAGACTGTCAGACATAACAATAATTTTGATTTTTTTGTAAGTGGCCTTACTTAAGAATACATGCAATAGACTGAAGTGGTGACTTTCTGGTATGTTAAAAGCATTTTAGATGCATAAATTTAGAGCAGTCCCCTAAGTGATTGTTACTGTCATAACTCATGAGTGATGTAGTTGTCTTATTGCCGTGCCTATGAAAGATGTTGTACATCCCACAGTCCTACAGTATCCATTATGATCTCTTAGTTTATAGTCAGTATTTTCATACCCTTTTAAGCCAAGGCATTCCTGTTGCTGTGAGCAGAAACCTGGTTCCTTGGGAATCAAATCCAGTTATCTGTATGGCAGGGTAAAGTTGTGAGCTATCATCAGTGGGATAAATGCATTCAACAGACTTGTACCCAAATAATTTCTCTCAGGGTTAGGTGTGATTGAATTCAGGTTCTTGCTTCAGATCTGGATCAACCATATGGGTCTTGCAGAAGCAAATAGCAGGAAAAATATTAGTGTGATTTGAGGCCATGTGTCCTGTGCTTTGTTGGTCCTTGGTAGGTCAGAAGAGCAATAGGATGAGGTGCTCAGAGCTTGCAATTCCGTGTGGGCCTGCCATGTGTACCTGGCAGTATTGGGGGGGATGAATAGAATGGGAGGATGAATATGCTCAGGAAATATTCAATGTTGAGAAAAATTAACTACCAAACTCCTAACAGGTTCTTATTGAATGTGTGCAAACCAAAGCTTGCAGGTCTTCTGAGTGACCAAATTTGGGCAAATTTTCACAGGGGTGACATAATGTATATTCTTGACATCAGGGCTAAACCCTGCAGAATTTCAAACCCTTGCTTAAAAGCATGGAGGGTCTGGAGCATCTCATGTAAGCAGAAATAAGACTCCTTTTCTAACACAGGCAAAGTAAGTTCTTTTTCCCCTTCCTCTCATTCTGGACCTTTTACTTCAAAATTCATCAAGTTCAGCCTTAGGCAGATACCTGGTATGGAAAGCTTCACCCTGAACAGCTTGTCTGATAAGGGCATGAGAAACTGGGAGCAAAGTGCTGGACCATTAAGTATCAGGCAGCTTCCTATGTAGACCCAAATTATTTGTGTTCCACAGGTCACCTTGGTCACCCCATAGATATCAGTGGGGTTACTCAAGTGAGTAATGGGAGTGGGTTCACCCTGTCAGTTAGGAACAGTCATAGTGTTTTACTGCAGTCACTACTAACTTAATTTTACTTGATAACCAAGGCCTGTGAAATTAAATTCTTTCTGCTTTGG